CTATCACTGAATCTGTTTAAAATGTCTGTTTATGTTGAGGTTGACGGTGCCCTCTGCTGTCGTAGTCAAGTATCACACCCAGACACAGGATTTCATAAGATAAGATCCCACAATGGAGACTTCTGTGAATGGATCTGATTCCACTCAAATTAATGTTATTTGTATCGCCCGGAATCACAACAGTCATCACGGAACCGCCAACTCATAATGGGACACTGGGAACTAGTCCTCAGATCCAGGAAGTCCATGGTTTCAGGCTGGTGACGGATCCAAGAGCCTGGTACATCAGGCAACATTCATTCACAACAGTTGCAGTAAAAACACTGCGTTTAAAAACTGTCTCCTGCTGCTGCTGAGAGGTCGGATATTTCAAAGTTGAAGAATGGGGGCAGCTTTATCTGTGTAAAACCTCACTCTCTAGTCTGTCTACCCTTTGGTCTTAATTCATATCATGGACTGGTATAAGGACGCCCTCTACTGGCAGAAGTGAGAAACAATGAAACTCTCCAAAGCTTATAACTGCTCTGCCTATAATAATGAAACGGGAGCTTTAAGACAGTAGGGGCGGAGTTACACGTTTACCTTTTTTGTTTATTTGATTTGAACAACGCACAATAATAAACACAATTAACAACAACAGTAAAAAACAACAAATGTAAATATACTGGACTATAGCTACAAATCCATTGTCCATCACAGAGAAAGAGTTCTCATGATTGTCCTGGATTTTAGACCATTTTAGGTTTGAAAAAGAAACAAGAGGTGGGGCTAGTCCATGTAGAGCTTTGTAAGTGATAGATAGATGGATACGTAGATGCATATAGATACTGAGAGGAATAGATTTAATTCAAATTATTCTTGTATTTCCCTAAATCAAACGTTGAATTCGCCAACACAGATCAGAGAATCAAACTGTTCAAACTCAAGAAATGCAATGATAAAGAACAGATAAAGCCATTGGTCCATAAGCAGCAGATGATTAATTAACTCCGTAACAAATGCAGGATTAGAATCTCCTCGTCTGCTTTAGACACTACACTTTTTGAGTCTTGGAATGTTTTTATACTCATATTTTTGTTACCGTATTCTGTTGTCGTTTTCATTAGTTTACTTTTTCTTTGTTTTAGAATATAGTAAGACCTAATTTATTTTTCATTTCATTTTTTAAAATCCTTTTCACCCACTATCTTCCCCTTGTGTTAAAATAAAATAAATCATCAATTATAATTGTAATAAAGTATAAAACAATAGTTACAACAAAGCAAGAGAGAAAAACACAAAAACCAATAAAGACAAAATAAGGAGGAAGAAAAACAAACGCTGAGAATAATTTAATTTCTAATTTTAATTCTATATGTCTCTAGTATACGACGTCACCTGTATTTAATAAAATAATTAATCAAATGTGATATTAGTTTTTTTTGTCATCCTCTAATACGTTTGTCACTATTCGTAGAAGTCACATTCTTCTGACTGCATCTCTTACTTATTATTCTCTCATTTAATCCAGACTCTAAAATCAATCTCTTAGAATAATCAACTACTCTTCTGTCCATCCATCCATCCATTTTCTACCCTTTAATCTATTTCTGGGTTAGGGGGGTGGCAATCAGAGATGCCACCCAAGTCTCATAGCACCAGCCCCTCACTGACCCTCTGCAGGTGGTGAGTCCACAGGAGGAGGCTGCTCTCTGAGTGTGAGATCTTACAGTGGGGGCTTTGGGCAAAGTGGGGTTAAGTGTCTTGCCCAAGGACACAACGAGAGCAGTCATCAGTGGGAGTCGGTGGAGAAGGTGCAGAGGTGGGAATTGAACCCACGACCTTCTGGCCTTAAGGCCAATGCTCTACCAACTGAGCTACTCAACTACTCTTCTGGCCCCTGGAAAAGCAATGTTGCAGCTTCTTCCTTCTGGCAAAAGATATTTGTTCGCTATTATCAGTCTGAACCTTATGTTCAATTCACTTTGATGATCTTGCGATCTTTTCAGCTTGTTTTATTTATTATATATGTATCTGGTGGACACTGGGGTACTCCTGCGCATGTATTCCAATGTGGTTTTACTGCAATTGGTAAATGAACTGAATCTGTTTTAAAATAATACATTGAAAAGCATTTGGGGTTTTTTGGTGGTAAAAACCTGCAAATGTTACTGATTTGATGTGGCCTAGACCCTTATTACTCTAAGTTTTCTGACCTGATTTTAAGCCATGTTTATAATGTAGATTTGAGCAGCTGTTGTTGTCATGCCTCTTGAACATGCAATGCGCGTGTCTCTCTCTCTTGAGCTTCATGTTTGTCTCGTGGTAAAGTTAAACTCTGAACACTCTGTTTATCTCCGGCGTCTTGGCTGCAGCGCGCACGCCCTTCCCCTGGCCCCAGCTCTGCCTCTGATTGGCTGCGACGTGCTCTATCTTCTCTCTGATTGGCTGAGGCCGCGGGTGCATCCTCTGGGCATGCGTGCGCCATGCGAACAGCGCACGCGCCCCTCGTTGCGCTGATTTCAGTGCGCACTTTCTGCACAGTTACGGTAAAGTGCAAAACAGCCGAGTTCTTGGAAAAATGTGAGATCTTCAAGACACGGAGTCCAAAGGCAACACCGTGTACCTGACTTGGACTTTATTGATGGTTAAATATAAACCCAGTTTCCTTCAGTCCTACTTTGCTCTACTCTACTCTACCTTGTGGTGTTGTTTTCATTACACTTTAGTATCTGGTTTCGTATATTTTCAACTTACCCACTATGAAATCAGAATCCGAGGAAATTCCTTGGTAGCCATGGCTTCCAGCAGCACTGTCAGTTAGAACACTTTAGTACCAGCTCGGCCTGGATAGAACCAGGACTAGAGGGACTAAAGAAGGACCTGGTACTGGTGAAATGGAACCAGTGGAAATGCTGCCAATCGAGGAGAGGAGAGTAGAATAGAGTAGATAAAAACAGGACTAGAGTTAACTCAGAGGCTGCAGTAGACTGTCTCACAAAGGTCCAGGATGAGGCCGACTTGACGCGGAAACAGATTTAAAAATTTGTCCAAAACTGGGGATATTTCAGTGTTCCATCACTGGTAACAGAAGTTGAAATAAATGAACAATAACTCTAGACTAAACGAAATAAAATAAAATGTGTCTGAAACGCAGTTTAAATGCATTAGTTTAACATCAAACAGTGCAGCTTCTCGGAGAACTTTATCTTATGAAAGTCCTTTATTTTACTCTGTGACAACGAGGGCTTTGTTTGATGTCAAACACTGATCACCCAAACGCCTGCGAGTCGCTGTCTCTTTGTTCACACTTAAAGGAATAGTTCACCGTTTTTACATACTGACATATGTTCTTACCTTACCTTAGACTAGTTAATACGTACCTGTCTGGTCTTCGTCCGTGCGCTCTGTCATGCAAACGGAGCAAAAACGGGAGCACAAACGCAGCCTCCTCTGTATACTGTGTAGGACCAAAAGGTAGCTCCCGCTAGAAGCTACCAAACTCTTCCAAGTGTTCCCTATTAAATGTATATAGTTACGTGACGTGTTACACTGCAAAGTATAGTAACACAGAAATGTAACAGTCGATTTTCTCAGCGGATAAAACGGGTACTATATTGTGAGGCGTAGTAATCTGAGGAGCGCTACGTCCGCGCACTAACTTCTCTCCGTACTACAAGTCACGCTGCTTCTATTGACGGAAGTGAGCGAGAGAGAAGTCTCCGGAGAGAAGTTAGTGCGCGGACGTAGCGCTCCTCAGATTACTACGCCTCACAATATAGTACCCGTTTTATCCGCTGAGAAAATCGACTGTTACATTTCTGTGTTACTATACTTTGCAGTGTAACACGTCACGTAACTATATACATTTAATAGGGAACACTTGGAAGAGTTTGGTAGCTTCTAGCGGGAGCTACCTTTTGGTCCTACACAGTATACAGAGGAGGCTGCGTTTGTGCTCCCGTTTTTGCTCCGTTTGCATGACAGAGCGCACGGACTAAGACCAGACAGGTACGTATTAACTAGTCTAAGGTAAGGTAAGAACATATGTCAGTATGTAAAAACGGTGAACTATTCCTTTAAAAGAGTTAAATGTTGTTGTTTACTTTTGCTCACGGCTCACACAGTGTCAACACAAAAATCAGGGAAGAAAATAACAAACTTGAACCGCAGTTTCATGTTTCCCCTACCGGACAAAAACACAAACAAAAGGCGAAATCCTCCAGTTTAGGTCCTGACAGGACATCTACATCTGGAGCTGAATTCTATGGCTCTGGTCTCGCTCTGGTCTCGCTCTGGTCTCGCTCTGGTCTCTCTCTGGTCTCCCTCTTCTACTGATGCCCTAGCAGCAATGGAGTTTGAACAATAGTTGTTCAAGTGTCCAAGACGCAGACATAACAGGTCATGTCGACTTCGTTTTGTATCTGTTGTTTTGACTGTAATAGTCTTTTGATGTGACGTAAGATTGTCCTTTTATAATGCAAATCCTGATTTAATTCTGTCTGAAAAAAAAAACTGTAAAGCTGACAATAAAACTTCCTGGTTACTTTGGTGCTCAAAGATCCCATCATTATCTTCGACAGAAGGATGGGTCAAATTTCCCTTCAGAGACAACTTAATCCTAGCCTTAATACAACTCAAGACTAAACCCTGATTGGGTAACCTACAATATTATTTTTAAGCAATCAGTCTGGTACTTTGTGTTTGCAATGTGCGTGGCTTTAATAGTCAATCTCCATGTTTGTCTTGCTGTAAACTCGACCACACTCAGACCAGTTGCTGACAGGGCTCGTCCCCATCGCTGCGTGTTATTCCCATGGTCACTTTGTGCTGCGCGCTGTGCCTGAGACTTACGGTCCTGGAGGCTGGCGTCTCTCCTCAGCTGATGTGATGTGCATCCACTGAGCCATTCCTCCTCAAACACTCACCCACCGGCCTCCACCGAGCCCGGACGCGCTCACGAACCTGCTCTATTAGATTATCTCCCACAGACACAAACGCACATCAGACAAGACGAGGCGATGCTGGACAAGGACGTGTCCGAGCTGGGACCGAGGGAGCTCACCCAGAACCCGCTGCGGAAGATATGGATGCCGAGGGCTGCGAACGGGCTCATCCAGAGACCCATTACGCAGAGACGGGGTAAGACCAGACGAACCAACCACACACGCACCGAAAAACGTGCACATCTCCACACCCACCTTCCGTTCATCCCGTTTGCACTGCGAATGATTTGGGTTTCGCTTTTACATTGTTGCACACGGAGGGAGCTAGCTTGATGCAATCCATGTGGGTCTTCGGAGATGGCGACATTGCATCATTTTCCTCCGCTACTTCTACCAGCCTGGCTCGCGTTTCCAGTTCCCTTTCTGCAAGACGGACCACCTTTGCGTCTCTCTTGGATCTTAATACACTTATAACACATCTATTTGACATTGCTCCTGCGTAAATTCCATCTCGTGACCTCGGTCCGTGCTTGTGACGCGCGCCTGACCCAAAATGGATCAATTGGCCCGGGATCACTCGAGTCAGCACTTTAGAGCTTTGAGCTGTGGCGGTACAGTAGTATTTCTGCTGTTTCTTGCTGAGTCAAGTCGCTTCGCACAGTTGGAGGTCTGGTGTTTGACTTTGTGGATCTGATAGTGGTGATCAGCCTCTAAAGAATAGATTTTGAAGGTGGGGGTGTGGAGTGGGTGATCAGTCTATTGTCAAACATGTTATAGGCCTCACACACCACTTAATATTGACTCAATGATGGCGTGTGTGGGGGGCGTTAATGGGAACAAGGGGCTTACAGTAAAGAGGGTGTTGATGGATTAGTGTAATACTGTGTTTTACAGTAGAATGTTAGGAACACGGGTCGTTCTGGGTCGTTCTTTGCTGGTGCAGGTGGGTCTAAGGACAGTGCTGACCCAGGACATTTATTAATATTTCTGGACAGTGGACACAGTGGTTTTCGATCCCTATGGACCAATGGCTCCTATGTCTTTGTAATTATTGCACTTCTTCTGTTCAAACTTGATTGATTCTCTGATCGACAACTTTGTAAAGTTCTCCGAGACGACTGCTGTAGTGATGTAGGGTTACAAACAAATAAATTAAATTTGAACTCTGCGAAAAAAAAAACCTTAAACTAGTTCCCTGCTCTTAAAAGTTTACTCTTTTTTTTTCCCATACAGTAAAGTGAAAAAAGAGAGGACCACTCAAAGCTCACAGCCCAAAGCATCAAATAGTGACTCACATGGCTCCTTCTTACTCAAAAGATAATGTTCATCATAAGATGAAAACAACATCTTTTGGTCTGATTTGTAAACAACATTTTAGTTTTACATGAATCCTTCTCTTGGGATAAACAATGTGGATTATTTATGAAAAATTAAAGCTTGGGTAACCCTGTGTTTAAATGAATTCTACTCCGCTTAGCTATTTTCATCGTGCTCTTTTGCAATCTTGGTGTTGTTGCTACACCCCCAAATTCTGCAGATAATATGTTTGACAAGTATGCGTAAGAAGCCATGTAACACAAACTTTGAAAAAAAAGTCAAGGATTTCCCATAAATCGGAGAAGACAAAATACAATTCTAAGAGCCTAGAGTCTAGAATTACAATTGTTTCAGAACAGAGAGAGCTTTTCCAAGGCCACTTCTCAAAGCTTTTTTATTCATCTCATTTATGCAGCGTGGAAATTCTCATGTCGACCGACACCCACTGTCTCCTGCAGCTCAGGTCACAGCTCCACGGCTCCCAGAAACTCTGAAAGAGGCCTACAAACCTTCCTGTTTAAGACGGCAACTTAGGGCTTTTATTCCTCCATGTTGAATTGATATTTAATGTAATTTTATATTTGTTTTATATTTTGAATTTTAATCTGTAGCACTGTGAGATTTTGTGGAAAAGTTGCATTTTATGTCAAATTTATTATTATTATTATTATTATTATTATTAGGACTGAGGAGGCAGGACTGGGGCTGTAGATCCACGACTGGGGCTGTAGATCCAGGACTGAGGCTGTAGATCCAGGACTGGGGCTGTAGATCCAGGACTGGGGCCGTAGATCCAGGACTGGGGCCGTAGATCCAGGACTGGGGCCGTAGATCCAGGACTGGGGCCGTAGATCCAGGACTGGGGCCGTAGATCCAGGACTGGGGCCGTAGATCCAGGACTGGGGCCGTAGATCCAGGACTGAGGCTGTAGATCCAGGACAGAAGAGGCTCCCAGATGGGAAGAGGGGTGCGGCTCATGAGTCCAGGCCAGGGAAGACAGTCCACAGGGTGCAGGTCCCATCATGCTGCCATACTGTATAGTTACTTTTGTGTGATTTGAAAGCTTACCTCTGCTTTGAAAAAGAACACAAGAATATTAGATTTCCACCTCACTGAGATTATAACCTTGTGTTTTGCAGTGTGCATGACGAACTGCCCCACGCTGATCGTAACCGTGGGACTTCCGGCTCGAGGGAAAACGTACATATCCAAGAAGTTGACCAGATATCTGAACTGGATCGGAGTTCCAACAAAAGGTGAGCAGTGACATCGAAATAACATCCAACACCACGTCCTTAAACTCTTCTGAACTAAATTGTTTTTCACATTTTCAGTTTTTAACGTCGGCCAGTACAGAAGAGAGTGTCTGAAGATCTACAAGTCGTTTGAATTCTTCCGTCCAGACAACGAAGAAGGCCTTAAAATCAGACGGTAGCTTCACACCAGTGTTTGAACCATGTGACTGCAATCATCATGAACTTCCCTCTTTCCCTTCGGTCCAAATACACCTTCAAACTCATTGCCAAATCCTTGGACTAGGAGGACATGGAAAGCCCTGTTTTTTTTGCTTTATAAAAATTTCCCAGTCAATTTATTGATTTTATACCTACTAACAGACTGCCATTTTTGATTTGTAGTTATTACACTGGTCCCTCACTATGACACGGGTATAGTCAGTTCAGTCACTCTCTTTGGTCTCTCTCTAGTCCAGGGGTCTCCAATCTGTTGCTCGGGAGCCACCAGTAGCTCTCCACCCCCTTCCAGGTAGCTCGCCAAAGGATTTATAAATGAATTAAATATTATGCTTAAAGGAGCAATATGTAAAAATCTGGCCAAAAGTGGTACTGCAGTCACAGTCAATATTTTGTAGTCCTCTCCCACTCTCCCTGACTCAGGTTGCCAGATTCACACCAAATCCAGCAGCAAACACAGGGAATTATTTTATCAGTTGTTTGTCCGTCTCCATTCACATTGCAATGACAGTCGTGCTAATGCTGAATGAATGTTTTCATTAATGTTTTTTTATTATTATTATTTGGACATTTGAGATAAAAAACAAAAACAAAATAAAAGCAATGTAATTATACATAGTTTATGCAAAATAAATAAGCAATTGATGTCCAAAATAGGAGTGGGAAGAATGGATGTTGGAACGTATTTCTTCAGCGTATCAACATCAGGGTTTGCTCAAGAGGATATCACCTTTCAATTTTATTTATTCCCTATTTTTTAGAAAAACATGTAAAAGTCCCACATCAAAAAGAGACTAACATTATTTTAATTGGGTACATGTGGTCTTAAATGATTATTTTTACAATTAAGCTATAATCTGCAAAAAAAACGTCTTGACCTTCATTTTTTACCGTTTTTAGAGCAATCTGTCATAGAATGTAATAACATGCAATAAATACCAAAAGACATAGCCCGGGATCGAACCCGGGTTCCTGCATCGTAAGCGCACAGTTTAGACCACTAGAGGCCACCGATTCACACAAATAGAGGCACTGTGAAGAACGGACTCAAAGTAGAAAATTCTGCATCACACGTGAACTTTTATCAGCTGTCTCAATTGTTCAAAGGCATCCCAATATAAATCCTCGTTTTAGTCTTTGTTTTGTCATTAATGATTTGAGAGTCATAACAAGACCTTTTTTAGTTCTGCGCCACATGTTATTTTACCACTGAGATTAGTGAGCCCCGCGGAGTTCTGGCAACCCAATCACGGACTTGACACTTCCTGATTGGCGAAACGGCGGAGGGTAGGACATCAAAATCAAAACAATAACAACTTTTACAGGTCGTAAAACTAATGTTGATAATCAAATATCTCGGCTGAACTACTGTTATCAGTTAAAGATGAATTCGAAAATAGTATGATTTAATAACGCCTTTTGAAATATTCGGGTCATTTAATGATGACTTGACATGCAAATATTACATATTGCTCCTTTAATATTTCAGATTGTATTATTCATTATCGTTATTGACTTTGTCACTAATAACAAAGATGTGATGATAAATAATGGCTGTACCCAATATCAGGCTCTTTCACACCAATATTTCACCACATTGTTCCCAGGGCGTTTAACCCTATGAACCCGTCTGCATCGGCGCCGATGCACGCGCACATGTTTTACAAATGATCAATTTACTCGCGAACGGTAAAACGTAGCAACTTACTTTTTTTCCTCTGTGAAGTACGTATTCAGGGCTTTCCGAAACTAGTTTTGATTTGTCTGTGCGATGCACGGAGGATAAAATACGTTTGTCTGAAAGTCCTTGTCCAAAGCGTGACCCGTATTATATAAATAATAGATGTTTTTTTTTTTTTTTGGCTCAGTTTCTTATGTTTTAAGTTTTTTACAGCTGTGCTACAGAAGCAACCCCAGCATTATAGACAAACTGCTTCAGGAAGGGCATCAGGAGTACAGAGTTTTTTGCTTTTATAGTGGAATTTTGTAAAAAGTATAATAGTTAGAGATTCAATTTTTTTCCCCATTATCCCCAAGACCATAAATAACATTTCTATGCAGTGTAAAAAGTTGTTTATAGCATTTCATTGTGTTTTTTCAATACATTTTTGTTAAATTGATTTTCCGTTTGATTTTTTTCTTTGTCTTCATGATTCCATAATTTTTATATAATTCATATGACAGCTTTACAATATGAATATTCTAAAACCCCAGGTTGTACTGAAAAAAACAAAGTATACTGCTTGACTCTGCATCAAAAGATGACTGTTTTATGAACAATTATACACAAAGAAAACCAGGCGAGGAAAGTTCCCCAAAATGACCCATGTGCATAGAGGGTTAAAGGAGTAGCTCTCTGCCTTTATCGTCCTGGGAAAGCAGCTCTCAGGGTAATAAAAGGTTGGAGACACCTGCTCTAGTCTCTCTTTGGTCTCTCTCTGGTCTCTCTGGTTCCTCTCTAGGTCTCTTGCTAGTCTCTTTACTGTAGTTCAGGAGACTAGATTAGAGTTCAGATGTTTAGAAAATAGTTTGTGAAGAAGGTTTTAACAGCCTTAAAACATATAGCACCAGTTATTTTGCTTATTGCTGGTTATTAATTTGAACACACAACCCCTGCGATAAACCAGGGACCGCTGTAATTCTAATATAATCTTGTCTCCTTCCAGTCAATGCGCCACGACTGCTCTGAACGACGTGCGGCAGTACCTCAGCGTGGAAGGAGGACAAGTGGCAGTAAGTCTTTGGCCTTGTTTTGTTCCAAACTGTAATTTCAACAGATGAACTCAGCGATTTATGCTGTTTTCCTAAAGGTTTTTGATGCCACAAATACGACCAGGGACCGGAGAGCCACCATCCTGAAGTTTGCAGAACAGAACGGCTTCAAGGTGCGTTCCCAAAACACTGTTCGATTTTAAGGGATTTTAAAAAAACATTCTTGAATAACTTTTATTTTATTCACTCAGGTTTTTTTTGTGGAGTCCGTGTGTGAAGACCCAGATGTCATTGCAGAAAACATAGTGGTAAGAACAAGGTTATGACAAAGTTACACAAATAAAAGCACAACATTTGACTTTATGATAATGACAAAGATACTTTTTATTTATGTGGCGGCTTTCTGGGCTCTCAAGGTTGCCTTACAGAAGTTACAAAGTTGAATGCAAAAACCAGAAAGAGAGGCAGACCATAGAGAGAGAGGCAGACCAGAGAGAGAGAGGCAGACCAGAGAGAGAGAGGCAGACCATAGAGAGAGAGGCAGACCAGAGAGAGAGAGGCAGACCAGAGAGAGAGAGGCAGACCAGAGAGAGAGAGGCAGACCAGAGAGAGAGAGGCAGACCAGAGAGAGAGAGGCAGACCATAGAGAGAGAGGCAGACCATAGAGAGAGAGGCAGACCATAGAGAGAGAGGCAGACCATAGAGAGAGAGGCAGACCAGAGAGAGAGAGGCAGACCAGAGAGAGAGAGGCAGACCAGAGAGAGAGAGGCAGACCAGAGAGAGAGAGGCAGACCATAGAGAGAGAGGCAGACCATAGAGAGAGAGGCAGACCAGAGAGAGAGAGGCAGACCAGAGAGAGAGAGGCAGACCAGAGAGAGAGAGGCAGACCAGAGAGAGAGAGGCAGACCAGAGAGAGAGAGGCAGACCATAGAGAGAGAGGCAGACCATAGAGAGAGAGGCAGACCAGGGAGAGAGCGGGCGACCAGGGAGAGAGCGGGCGACCAGGGAGAGAGCGGGCGACCAGGGAGAGAGCGGGCGACCAGGGAGAGAGAGGGCGAGCGGGCGACCAGGGAGAGAGAGGGCGAGCGGGCGGCCAGGGAGAGAGAGGGCGACCAGGGAGAGAGAGGGCGAGCGGGCGACCAGGGAGAGAGAGGGCGACCAGGGAGAGAGAGGGCGACCGGGCGACCAGGGAGAGAGAGGGCGACCAGGGAGAGAGCGGGCGACCAGGGAGAGAGCGGGCGACCAGGGAGAGAGCGGGCGACCAGGGAGAGAGAGGGAGAGCGGGCGACCAGGGAGAGAGAGGGCGACCGGGCGACCGGGGACAGGGAGAGAGCGGGCGACCGGGGACAGGGAGAGAGCGGGGGACAGGGAGAGAGCGGGCGACCAGGGAGAGGGAGAGGCAGACCAGAGGGAGAGGGGGAGACCAGAGAAAGAGTGACGGCTATGGTGACATGGCGGGCACGAGCAGAATGCACCTGGAGCTAGAAGAAGGAGGAGTGGAGGAAGGGAGCAGGTGTGCTGATGTGGAAGAGCTCAGAGAGATCTTGAGGGAAGAGATTGCTTATGGCTTTGAAAGTGAGAAGCAGGGTTTTGTACTGAATGCAGTGGGTAATGGGACTCTAGTGCAGCTGTTTCAGGACAGGGGTGAGTTGCAGCGTGTTTGGTGATGCACGGTTTTGGAGCAATGGAGTTTGAGAGATTGATCCACGCAGGAGAAACTCTGAGTCCTTCATGTGTTGTTGGTTGATGTTTCTGCAGCAGGTGAAGCTGGACAGCCCTGACTACGTCCACGCCAACTCTGAGGAGGCCATTGAGGACTTCATGAAGAGGATTAAATGTTATGAATCGTCCTATCAGCCGCTGGACGAGACTCTAGACAAGTGAGTGTGATTTTGGTTTTGGGAGTAGGTAGTAAGTGCATACATACAGTACATAGCAAGAAGGGCCTGGGTTTGAGTCCTGGTTGGTAGGAGGCCTTTCTGTGTGTCAAGATGTTCTCCCTGTGTCTGCATATGTGTTCTCGCTCGCTGGTCTCTCTCTTTCTCCTTTCTCTCTGGTCTCTCTTCTGTCTTTCTTGTCTCTCTCCTGTCTGCTCACATGTGTGTGTTGTGTGGCATATATGATACGGGATGGACTCAAATAAGCATGTTCTTCCTCCACCCTCTTTTCGATCCTTGTTTTGTGAAAATGTGTTTTACAGGTTCTAAATAAATAATCTAAACAAGCCTCTGGTCTCCTCTGCAGGGACCTGTCGTACATAAAGGTGATGGACAAGGGGAGGAGGTACCTGGTGAACCGCGTCCTGGACCACGTTCAGAGTCGGATAGTCTATTATCTGATGAACATCCACATCGCGCCACGCTCCATCTACCTGAGCCGCCACGGAGAGAGCCACCTCAACATCAAGGGCCGCATCGGCGGGGACTCAGGCCTATCAGAGCGTGGGAAAGAGGTGGGACCGTACTACAGCCCCTGCTCTCTCTCTTGAGAGAAACTGTTAAAGTAAATGTAGCTCATTGTCAAAACGGCTTGATTTCATCACTAGCTTTCACTTGTATTTGTGGTCTCTATTAGCCCACATTCCTGCTTCAGTTTGTTTATGTGAACAGCTGAAAGATGAGGAAGTGTTGTTGATTATGTGATTAGGGTAGTTAAAATCTTGGTTGCTTCATCCCGGGCTGCGAGAAGAATTCAATGCTCCACTCTGCTCTTCTTGACTCTACTCTAGCCCACATTCCTGCTTCATTGTCTTTATGTGAACAGCAGTGAAAGACATGGAAGGGCTGTTGATTATGTAATAAGTGCTGTAGTCAGTTCAGAGTTTACACACACACACTAAAATCTTGGTTATTTTGTCCCGGCTGACAAATTGCCAAGATTTATAGAAAGTACCATTTTATCTGCGATGAGACTATTCACAATTGAACAGACACGACTGAACTAAATGCTGCTTTTCCCTGTTTGTGAAACTGACACAGAGCATGAAACTGAAACGGCAGTGTGTGTGTAACCGTGTCCCCTGTGTGTCGACAGTACGCGTCACATCTGCGGAAGTTCATCCAGGAGCAGGACATCAAGGACCTGAAGGTCTGGACCAGTCAGATGAAGAGGACCATCCAGACGGCAGAGTGTCTGGGCGTCCCCTACGAGCAGTGGAAGGCCCTGAACGAGATCGACGCGGTACGAGCGACTCACACTGCACTGCAACCTGTTTCTACCTGCTCTGCTCTACTCTGCTCTGCTCTGCTCTACTCTACTCTACTCTACTCTACTCTACTCTACTCTGCTCTACTCTACTCTACTCTACTCTACTCTACTCTACTCTACTCTACTCTACTCTACTCTACTCTACTCTGCTCTGCTCTGCTCTGCTCTGCTCTGCTCTACTCTACTCTACTCTACTCACTTTAGGTGGCTTGACTCTGCTGTACTCTACTTTACTTTACTTTACTTGGCTCTTCTCTACGTGGCTCGACTCTACTCCACTCAGCTCTGCTCTACTCTATTTCACTTTACTTTTTTCTACTCTTCTCAGCTTTCCTCTTCTTGACTCTATTCTACGCCACTCTACTGTGCTCTATTACTTAACTGTACTGTACTCTGCTCTGCTTGGCTCTGCTCTATTCTACTCTAATCAACCTGCTTGTGTTTCCATTACGCTTTAGTACCTGGTTTTGTATCCTAGCAACCTGCCTCCGTAAATAACAAAAGCATGTGTTGGATGTTTTCAGGGCGTATGTGAGGAGATGATGTACGAGGAGATCCAGGAGAACTTCCCTCTGGAGTTTGCCATGAGAGACCAGGACAAATACCGCTACAGATATCCCAAAGGAGAGGTGAGCAAGCTTCGGCTAACGGTTATCATAGAGTAAAGACAGATAGACACCATTACTAGTACAGGATATAGAGCAGGGGTTTTCAACTGGGTCATCTAAGGGCCGGTGTGGCTGCAGGTTTTCATTCCAACCGAGCGGGAGCAACACCAGACTCCACCCATTTTCTCCAGTGAGTCCAGTCTTAACCTGAAGAAACTGCCTCCCTCTGAGGACCCAGTTGAAGACCAATGATATAGAGACCATCGTCATTTCCGGACTATAAACCGCTACTTTTATCCTGTTCTTGATCCCTAAGGTTTAAATAGCAGCTAACATATGTATTTTTATTGTGGTAGAGTCGGGCTGTTGTCAGAGCGGAGTTTATGTACTTATTATTTTGACTCGGCATGTTTTCGTAGCTACAGGACATTTATTGTCAAAATAGATGATGATTGTCAAAATAGATGAAGATGAAGTCGTGGAAGCTAACAATTCAGCTTCCACCTCATCATTAAATCATTTTGTGACCAATTAAAACAGTCAACTATCAGCTACATTACAACATAAAACCTGCGGCTAATACTCAAGTGTGGTCTATATGTGGACAACATTGACCATTTTTCCTTTTATGTGGTGTGGCTTATATACAGTTGTGCCTTATAGTCCAGAAAGTACAGTACATGGTTAGCGTTTCACTGCAAGAAATCTTGGGTTATATTCCACCTCCATCCAGGACCTTTCTATGTGGAGTTTGCATGTTCTCCTGTCTCTAATGATTGATCATTTTATAATAATAATGTTTGAGAGGCGGCAGCTTTTCAATTCTTCACTCTCATACATTTTAAGGTAAAGGTACACTTTATTGATCCCCGTAGGGCAATTCATCCTCTGCATTTGACCCATCCTGATACCGCTAAGGCTTACGTCAGGAGCAGTGGTCGCCGTAGTAACAGCACCCGAGAACCCATCTCCAGATGTTACTGCTCGGCTTGGTCAAGACCGGAGCTGGAGGATTTAACCTAGTGGGCGTGTTTTTAGTTGTAGGGGAAACTGAAGTACCCGGAGGACACCTACGCAAGCACGGGGAGAACGTGCAAACTGCACTCAGAAAGACCCCGTCCCGACCAGGATTCAAACGCAGGACCTTCTTGCTGAGGGGCGAGAGTGCCACTGTGCCGCCAATTATGCATGTATTTGTGTGTATTTCATACTGTTCTTTCCTTTTGCGCCTGTGAAGCCCTTTGCGCAGCTGGTGGTGTTGTAAATGTGCCATACAAATAAAGCTGACAGCTCACGATCGTGTGTTTCCTTCAGTCGTACGAAGACCTGGTGCAGCGTCTGGAGCCGGTCATCATGGAGCTGGAGCGCCAGGAGAACGTCCTGGTGATCTGTCATCAGGCCGTGATGCGCTGTCTGCTGGCCTACTTCCTCGACAAAACTGCAGGTGATTAATGACGTCAGAACCATGCCCCCGCCCCTTCTGTCAAATTGATCTTTTCACAAACTCATGACGCTGTGGTGGAGCTGGGCGATAGAACGCAGATACTTTAAAACACTTTTCAGTGCTGAAGCTGGCAGTTACTAATGCAGACACACATTGGCTAGATATTTCACACACACATAACCTTTGCTGCTCAAATGAATTGCCCCTAGCACAGGCTCTTCCAATATATGCATGTTATATCTTGTTGTAAAGCTTGTTTGCTGTATATATTCAAATTTGTTTTTGATCGTGGCACAACATTGAGTTGCTAATGTAGCTGGTGAGACAGTAAAGATTTGTCATTCAGCCAACGTCAACTCTATTAACCCTCTATGCACATGGGTCATTTTGGGGAACTTTCCTCGCCTGGTTTTCTTTGTGTATAATTGTTCATAAAACAGTCATCTTTTGATGCAGAGTCAAGCAGTATACTTTGTTTTTTTCAGTACAACCTGGGGTTTTAGAATATTCATATTGTAAAGCTGTCATATGAATTATATAAAAAATATGGAATCATGAAAACAAAGAAAAAAAATCAAAACGGAAAATCAATTTTACAAAAATGTATTGAAAAAACACAATGAAATGCTATAAACAACTAAAAAAATGAATCTCTAACTATTATACTTTTTACAAAATTCCACTATAAAAGCAGTTTGTCTATAATGCTGGGGTTGCTTCTGTAGCACAGCTGTAAAAAACGTAAAACATAAACTAAGACAAAAAAAAACATCCATTATTTATATAATACATATATTTATATACATCATATACACATAATGTCATTTTACTGTATTTATTATCATCTTTATCAATAATGCGCACTCTTCAGCCGGTTATTGCAATCGCAGCTGTAGTTTCAACTGTGGGAGAACAAGTAAACGCAGAGGAGTGAGAGATCTCACTCTCTGACGATCTTTGGCAGTCCCCGTGTGTTTGTATCTCACAGCTGTTTGTACCTCACGGGTCACGCTTTGGACACGGACTTTCAGACAAACGTAGTTTATCCTCCGTGCAAAGCCTTGAATGTGTACTTCACAGAGGGAAAAAAAGTAAGTTGCTACGTTTTACCGTTCGCGAGTAAATTGATCGGCGCCAATGCAGATGGGTTCATAGGGTTAAAGCTGCACTAACTGATTTATTTTTGTATTCATTACGAAAATGCTATCCATGTATTGCATTGGGATATACGTCCTTTTGAAGAAAAAGTAGCGCAGGTTTGTGCTGGCCTGACAATGTGTTTCGGGTCGCAGATTGTGACCAATCACAGCGGACCAACGGCCCCCACTTTCGTGAGAAATCTACAGGTCCGTTAGCATTGACAGCTGAGTTACTGCTAGTTACTGCTTACACAGCGAAAAACATCCATCCAAAAGAAAGTCTCGTTCCTCCGCGCTTCCCGGTTCTATTGTTCTATGGTCACGCCATCCACGCTCAAATGATACACAATATCGATTCTATCCATATTGTGAGACGCTAGCTCAGTTAACAACAGTGGGTGTGTGTGGGGGGCGATAGCCTGCCCTAGTGGGACACCCCTGCCCTAGTGGGATGAAGAAAGTAGTCTGAATCTGAATCAATATGGGCCTCCACAAGGTTTCTCACTTTTATCCCACTGGTGTTTGTGAGTGGTTCCTTGCCGACGCAGGAGGGTCTAAGGACAGTGGCGATCCAGGACATGTATTAACATTTCCGGACAGTGGTCATCCCGCTTCCTATGGACCAATGTCTCATACTGTATGTGTTTGTTGATTGACTGCGGAACCTTCCGCAGTCAACCATTGGTTTTGTATTTCTTTATTCCGTCATTTTTTTTGACACGTTTCACAGCTTTCACATTTTCAACAATTTCCACAAGTTATACATCAAAACGTTCCACATGTTTGGGAGATTATTGCTATTACTTTTGGGACTTCAGCGATTTCCGGTTTTTCCGCAATCGGACAAAAATCTGCATTGAGAATTCTGCAATGCATTTTAATAGGCCCATGCATTTTAATAGGACTTCAGCTCTTTCAGACATTTCTACAGTTTCAATGATTCAACAGTTTCAAGGATTCAACAGTTTCAAGGATTTCAGCAGTTTCAAGATTTCAAGAGTTTCAAGGACTTCAACAGTTTCAAGGACTTCAGCAGTTTCAAGGACTTCAGCAGTTTCAAGGACTTCAGCAGTTTCAAGGACTTCAGTGTAATCATGCAACCTAATAGGGATTTTTCCATGTAAACCAGTATAATGCAACTTAATAGGGATTTTTCCATGTAAACCAGTATAATGCAACTTAATAGGGTTTTTTCATGTAAACCAGTATAATGCAACTTAATAGGGTTTTTTTTCATGTAAACCAGTATAATGCAACTTAATGGGGATTTTTCCATGTAAACCAGTATAATGCAACTTAATAGGGGTTTTTACATGTAAACCAGTATAATGCAACTTAATAGGGTTTTTTCCATGTAAACCAGTATAATGCAACTTAATAGGGTTTTTTCCATGTAAACCAGTACAATGCAACTTAATAGGGATTTTTCCATGTAAACCAGTATAATGCAACTTAATGGGGATTTTTCCATGTAAACCAGTATAATGCAACTTAATGGGGATTTTTCCATGTAAACCAGTATTATGCAACTTAATAGGGATTTTTCCATGTAAACCAGTATAATGCAACTTAATAGGGATTTTTCCATGTAAACCAGTATAATGCAACTTAATGGGGATTTTTCCATGTAAACCAGTATTATGCAACTTAATAGGGATTTTTCCATGTAAACCAGTATAATGCAACTTAATAGGGTTTTTTTCATGTAAACCAGTATAATGCAACTTAATAGGGTTTTTACATGTAAACCAGTATAATGGAACTTAATAGGGGTTTTTACATGTAAACCAGTATAATGGAACTTAATAGGGGTTTTTACATGTAAACCAGTATAATGCAACTTAATAAGGATTTTTACATGTAAACCACTATAATGTAACCTAATAGGGGTTTTTACATGTAAACCAGTATAAAGCAACTTAATAGGGATTTGTACATGTAAACCAGTATAATGCAACCTAATAGGGATTTTTCCATGTAAACCAGTATAATGCAACTTAATAGGGATTTTTCCATGTAAACCAGTATAATGCAACTTAATAGGGATTTTTCCATGTAAACCAGTATAATGCAACTTAATAGGGATTTTTCCATGTAAACCAGTATAATGCAACTTAATAGGGATTTTTCCATGTAAACCAGTATAATGCAACTTAATAGGGATTTTTCCATGTAAACCAGTATAATGCAACTTAATAGGGGTTTTTACATGTAAACCAGTATAATGCAACTTAATAGGGTTTTTTTCATGTAAACCAGTATAATGCAACTTAATAGGGATTTTTCCATGTAAACCAGTACAATGCAACTTAATAGGGATTTTTCCATGTAAACCAGTATAATGCAACTTAATAGGGTTTTTTTTCATGTAAACCAGTATAATGCAACTTAATGGAGATTTTTCCATGTAAACCAGTATTATGCAACTTAATAGGGATTTTTCCATGTAAACCAGTATAATGCAACTTAATAGGGTTTTTTTCATGTAAACCAGTATAATGCAACTTAATAGGGTTTTTTTTTCATGTAAACCAGTATAATGCAACTTAATGGGGATTTTTCCATGTAAACCAGTATAATGCAACTTAATAGGGTTTTTTTTTACATGTAAACCAGTATAATGCAACTTAATAGGGATTTTTCCATGTAAACCAGTACAATGCAACTTAATAGGGATTTTTCCATGTAAACCAGTATAATGCAACTTAATAGGGATTTTTCCATGTAAACCAGTATAATGCAACTTAATAGGGTTTTTTTCATGTTAACCAGTATAATGCAACTTAATAGGGTTTTTTTCATGTAAACCAGTATAATGCAACTTAATAGGGTTTTTTCATGTATAATGCAACCTAATAGGTTGCATTATACCACCAGACCAAGACCCAAACGAAGACTCAGACCACCACCAGATAATGACCACAGACCAGGTTTCCTTAGTTACAGGAACCAAATTGTTTCAGCGGTGAGGGGATTTTTCAGTTTCAAGGACACTTTCAATACATTCAGTAGTTTCAAGGATTTCAGCTGTTTAAGAATTTAACCAGTTTCAAGGATATCAGGAGGTTCAAGGATTTCAGGAGTTTCCACACTTTCAACAGTTTCCAGGTTTAAAAAAGTTTCAAGGATTTCAGGAGTTTCAATGTTTCAACAGTTTCAAGGATTTCAGGAGTTTAAAGGTTTCAACAATTTCAAGGACTTCAGGAGTTTCAAATATCTATCAAGTATTTTAACAGTTTCAAGGCTTTTTAAAGGATTTCAAGGATTTTTTTTAGCAGATTTCCACATTAGATCTGTTCCGCAGTCAATCGCAATGGCTTCAGCCATTGCAAGTTTCTAGTTATTATTGCATTTCTTGTGTTAGAACTGTTCCATTCTCTGATCTGTTGTTGTGATTCAGGGCGATACAAAAACACATTGACTTGAGTTAAATATGTGCTACTTCAGAAGTGATGTCACATTCTAACTCATGAGATGTTAAAGTGAATATTCTGATGTTTTAACTTCAGCACCCCTCTCTCTCTCCTCAGATGAGCTGCCTTATCTAAAATGCCCTTTGCACACTGTCCTCAAACTGACCCCTGTGGCTTATGGTGAGTCTCTTATTTTTTACTGCTTTTAACTCTAGAGCTGTCGTTTTGACCAATTCATTCATTTTTATGTCAAATTCAAACTGAAAACTATGGCAGTTACTGGGTGCAGCTTTGACTGCCAACCCCCCGACCCAGATATGGATTAAGGGGAAGAAAATGGATGGATTGATGGTTTAGCGTTTGGTTTGGCGTTTAGCCGTTAACACTAGAACCCCCCAGAGCCGTCATTTTGACTGCTCCTTTCAAACCAATGAAACTCTCAGATATTCCCCCAAATTATTTGTAGGGTATTTACGGTTATTCACTTTTAATAAGTGCTACAAAAGACAAAATGGTTTGTTGAAAGGCTAATGCTAACGACCAAATGCTAACTGTTGATAGTGAAGTGTGTTGCTATGGTGACCAGCACTCTCTTATCTCTGGTGGAAAAACATTATGAACCAAAACCAGTCCAGGACCAGTCCAGCACATTGGCAAAAGGGCTTTAACTGCCATTGAGATAAAGCAACTCAAAATGACTATATCTGAATTCCAGTTAAAGATGGAACTCTTCACATTTCAAAAGTAAAAGATGATTTCATGAAAAAATGACATAGAAAGAAACTGCATTTAGATCCAAAATTATGAAGCGCAAAAAACATACCTGAGTGATTACACTTCCAGAACTAAAAACGGACTCAAATCGACTGCTCTGAGGATTCTAGTGTTGCATTCACCAGTTTCAGCACAAAAGGAGTAAAGGTAGAGATCATATGAATGACTTCCTTTTAATAAAACTGGTGGAAAACTGAGAGTTCTAGTGTTATGTTAATTTTTGTTATTATTTTGATCAAATCCAGACATTCTCCTTCGATGTTGACAATAATCTTGTTTTTCTTCAGGTTGTAAAGTGGAGTCCATGTGTTTGGGAGTGGATTCAGTGAACACGCACCGAGACAGACCAGTGGTACGTACGTGTGGTCCACATACAGGCCGCTCTGGACTATAAGCCGCAGGTTTTCATGTTTATTATGCAACACTGTTCTAACGGCTCTAATCTCATAAACACGTCCGGGGTATTCCCTGCTCTGACGGCCTCCTGCAAGACGCTTTAGAGAGAGACCGACACGAGGAAAGTTACTTGGCGAATCTTTGTTTAGTCCGTTACCATAAGAACTGGGAAGAGCGGGGTCCTGACTTTGTACGCTGTCATAAGTGCCTGCTGTAAAAGGCCGACTTAGTTCTGTTGTACGAAAACACTGAACTCGCTCAAACTGGGTTTCACTCACGGGTCTCTCTCTGGCCTGTCTCTGGTTTTTCTCTCAATGGTCTCTCTCCTGGTCTCTTTCTCGGCTCTCTGTTTCTCTGATCTGGCTCTCTGGTTTCTCTCTCCTTTTCTCTTAGGGGTCTCTCTCCTGGTCTCTTTCTCGGCTCTCCGTTTCTCTGATCTCTCTCTGGTTTCTCTCTCCTTTTCTCTCAGTGGTCTCTCTCCTGGTCTCTTTCTCGGCTTTCGCTCTCTCTCTCTGGCCTATCTCTCCGCTCTCTCTGGTTTCTCTCTACTCTCTCTCCATATATATAATTGGGTATAAGGTTAGAGTTGGTCTCGCCTCCTGCGGGACAAAATACCAAGATTTTATCGATCCCCGCAAATGTTAAGCTTTTTACGATGGTTTCATGTATCTCACAACATGAAAACTTGTTCTACCTATGTACAAAGTTAATTTTCTTTCTTAAATCTAAAGCGCGCTCTCAAACACCAGAAAAGTCCAGTCGTCTCTTTCTAACATGTTCTCAATGTTGTTTTCTGGCGCAGAACGTGATGGCTCAGCGCAGCACAGAGGACGCTCTCCAGACCGTCCCGGCTCATTACTGACCCCAGCGTCACTCCGGATCCAAACTACAGACTTTTAACTAAAAACACTGCATAGAAGAAGAAATAACCACGTCTCAACCTCTACGTAAACCCAAACACGGAAAATCTTTAACTCTGTCGACGTGTTTTCCATCAGTCCATCGCCTCAAACATCTGTGAACGAGAAATTGTTATTTTTTTAAAACTGTGAATAATAATGCAATGTAGGGTTTTAATTTACACCTGTTTTTCTAATGTGTTTTTGTATTTTCTGACCACGGTGCTTCTACAAGAACGTCCTTTACTTTTGCCATCGGAGTAAAACGTAACAGTCTCATCGAAGTGAAGCCAAAAAGAGACATTTTAAGTGAACGTGAGCTTGTGGTTTTTTGCTGATGTACTGTGACCTACTTAACTATTGTACTGTACAAATAATGCAAATAAATGATCGTTTTTGACATGTTACTGTGGCAATAAATCATGTTTAAACCTGGTTTACACATTTATTGGAATGAGTTGGCTGTTATACACAGAGTCCATGCTGAATCTGAAGACCAGAGGAAATGGGTGGAGTCTGCTGAGCTCCTGCTTGGTTAGAATGAAAAGCTGCAGCCACACTGGCGCTTTAAGGACCCAGTGGAACAGCCCTGATATGGGAAAGGCTGTAACTTTGTGGGTTTAAAAACTAAAAAACCCATGAAATCGATATGCAACACACCTTGACTTGTAGATAAACACGACTAGTGGGAATCTTTGTAGAAATCATTTATGACATGTTTGTGAGTTTCACTAAATTATCCCTATGAGGAAATGTGTTCTCTGCATTTGTCCCACCCTTCATTGCTGTTAGGGCCTCTTTGCAGTGGTCTCGGTGGGATAGGGAACCCATTGTTGGGTCAGGATTGGAGCTGGAGGATTTTTTCTTTATGTGCACAGTAGGGGAAACCGGAGCAGCCGGAGGGAAACTCAAATCAGTCAAATCCTTTAAGACTCCTGAAGCGAAGCAGGGCAGAAATATTTGAACTAAAACTTTGACCAATGTCAAGACAGAGTGATAAAAGTGTTCTAGAAAGTTACTCTACAGCCCCATTTCCACCAGCCCTACTCTACCCTCATTGGTCCTTCTTTAGTCCTGGTTCTAGCCAGGCCGAGTTGGTACTTTAGTGTTCTGTTTTTTCCAGAGTGCTGCTGGAAGCCATGGTTACCAAGGCATGTCCACAGATACTGGTTTGTTGTGGGTAGATCACTATGAGGCTGTACAAGATACTCGAGTGTGATGGAAAGAACCAGGCAGAGAAGAGTGTTATTGTCAAACACATAAAAACAACTCTTTTACAAAGAATGATGTGTTTGTGTCCACAGTCAGAGGTCAAGGGTTGAGTCGGGGTCATGCAGGTCTTCGAGTCTAACGCTGCTAAAGGAAATGACGTATATTATAGTTTTTCATATATTAAAAAACATTTAAATTATTTGATAACAAAAAGCCCTGTGCTCTTCAAAAGGACCTGCCCCTCTTCAGTCGCCAAGTTTAAGGCAGAACAGCTGTGGAGCACAGGGACCGGGACAAAGGGACAGTTTCAGAACCACCGCTTAGTCTTCGTGATCTTAGGAATGTGAGTTTGGAGCCGTTTTCAGAACTGGAGAAAGAACAAGAAGAGGAGAGTTATTTTGTATCGCCCTAAATCACAGCAGTAGTCGTCTCAAAAGGCTTTACAAAGTTGTCGATTCGCCAACAACAGATCAAAGAATAAAAATGTTGAGAAGGCCCACATTGAGAGGGGAATCTGCTCCCACGGACAGACAAGATCCTATATATTCAATGCTATTCACCCGCTATTCCATTGTCTTTTTCTGGTTCTACAGCCTCAGTTCTGCCTCAGTCCTGGATCTACAGCCTCAGACCTGGATCTACAGCCTCAGTCCTGGATCTACAGCCTCAGACCTGGATCTACAGCCTCAGTCCTGGATCTACAGCCTCAGACCTGGTCTCAGAAGTTTCTCAATAATAGTTTCTCAGTAAGTCTAAGAACAGTAGTCGTCCCGGTCACTATGGACCAATGTCTCCTATGTGTTTGTTAATATTGGATTCTTGTGTTTGAACTGTTCAAACTGATCTGACTTTGGTGCCGAGTAAACGTACGTTCTTGAGGAACTCCTCGGCGACGATCCTGGCCCTGGCGTTCACCGACAGCTTCATCTCACTGATCTCTTTGTCAATTTCCTCCATGAAGTGAATGACAAAGTCAACCAGTTTGTGTTTGTACATCTGCTCTGTGTGGAAATTGGTGATCAGGAAGCTGATGTCGTAACCCTGAGCAACATGGACAAGAGAGAAGAGTAAATACAAGTACACACAGATGCACAGAGGACCAATCCCACGTCACCTCCACTGGTTTCCTCCTCAAGATGAAGAAGTTCTCTGCCCTCATCATCATGAAGCGCATGAACTTGTGGCACAGGATCTTCTCGATCTCATCAGCCTGAGGAACAGAGGCACACACACAACGTCAACACACAACTATTACAAAAGAGGTCAACCTTATCTTTAAATAAATTGTCCAACAGAAAGTTTTGTCAAAATAAAATGTGAAAAAAATGAGACCACAACCTGCTGTCGTCATCTGATTAGAAAATATGTTCTCTTTTGTGTAAGAATGAGCCCTGTGAGTCACTATTCGACACTTTGGGCTGATAACTGATTGGCTGTGTCCTTTCTTAATATAAAAACATACATGCAGGTGAAAACTAGGGATCGAAGCAACTGTTTTTGACAGTTCGTTTTTGATGAAGGAAAAAAAAAGACTGGATTCTAATGATTTTGTGGTTTGAAAGTTGTTCTTTCATAGTCATTTTCACAGTAAGATCTATCCTAGAGTCTCGGTCTCGTCCTGCTGGATCTGACCTGTTTGACGGCGATGCTGACGCGCACAGAGTTGATGGATCCCTCGATGAGAACCTTCTCTTTTTCATTTCTGCTGATGACGACGGGCTGAAGCAGCAGCTCTTTACTGCTCCTACACACACATAAGCAGAGTATGTTTAGTATAAGCATATATATTGTGCTCTATCGCAGAGACAGATTTCAAAAAGACAATATAATAATGCTTTAATTCTGTAGGGACGTGTCCAAACTGTGTTGCATGTGCCCCGCTGCAACAAAGGATCGTTCGTTTGAATAACACAATTTTATGAATTACGTTTTTATCATTTCTGTATTTTAGTGTTGGTACCAAATTATTCAAGTACAGTCCCATTGTCTGTTTCATGATGTAATGATGGGACCCCTGAACACGGCCTCTTTTATCTGCACCTGTGAACTGGTCCTGGATCTACAGCCTCAGTCCTGGATCTACAGCCTCAGTCCTGGATCTACAGCCTCAGTCATGGATCTACAGCCTCAGTCCTGGATCTACAGCCTCAGTCATGGATCTACAGCCTCAGTCATGGATCTACAGCCTCAGTCATGGGCCTCCTTACCTGACCTCCACCTCAGGTTTGTTGTGCCGCTCCACGACCTGAGACGAGAAGTTCTCCAGACAGAGCGCGGCCTGCAGCGTGGCCCGGACCGCATTCAGATACGGGCGCAAAGTGGCGGTCTGCAACAGGACACGAATCAGTGTGAACAGAAGCATAGATACTGTAACAGAGTCTTACTTGTATCAGAGTACAATTCTCACATGTCGTCGTAATTAGTTGCATTATATATTTCCTCATCCTATCTCTAAGGGAACTCCACTCCCTGCAGAGGAGACTCATCAGATCTCGTCCTTTCGGTCATAACCAAAAGCTCATCCCCAGAGGTGAGGGAGGGAACCTAAATTGTGAGCTTTGCCTTTCGACTCTGTTCCCTCTTCACCACAAGAGTCTGATACAGCTCTGACTGCAAACGTTCCTCCCTCTTCACAACAATTGAAGAAAGCGCTTACAATGAGTAATAGATCTGACTTTTTTAGTGTTTTCAAATAGCACTAAAGAAAAGTACAACAATAGAGTTGTTCTTACTTGTACATGTTACTTAATTTATACTCATTAGTAATAATTGAAGCTGATGAATAGTCGTATTCTACTGATAATAGCAGAATAACACGCATCACATGAAGTATAGAACCAGTTATTGTAACAGATCCATGGACCAGACACAGCAGTGGGTTACTACAGTCTATCCCCGCATGTCCATAAAAGGGAAACTCAAAATTATAACCAGGAACTGCAAAAGGAGGAAGACAAGAAAAAGGCATGTCACAAAGAGAAGTCATAGTTATATTACGATTAAAAAATGCGAGGTGATGAGAGACCATAGATGAGCTACGAGCGAACAGACTGTGATGTTATTGTCACAATAAAGATACGGCTGATCTCATCTGATGGACACAAGCTTTCAGTGATATATTCTGACAAAACACTAAAACACTCTAAACCATGGGCCATGTTGAAACATTAACATATAAAAACAGAATTTGAGATCAAATACTGATCTCAAATTATGTTTTTTTCACTGACAGGAAGCAAATGCTAACAGTGCTAGCCAGGTAAAGCTAACACAAAACCTGCCGACAAGAAAGCCTTTTTTCATCTGAATACACGTATAAATCAGCGCAGCTCATCTTTAACAAACAATGCAGATGTTAAATGATGGTTAAAAATACAAATTATAAACATAATTGTCAGTTTCTTACCATTTCTGTGAAAGAGGAGAGGGGCGCAAGCAGGAAGTAGCAACACAGGAAGTAACGCGTTGAGTCCGGAAGTTTAGATTTAAGACAATAAATGTGGGATTTATAACTTTGGTATTAATCATCTTATAATGTTGGCTAAACAATACATACAAACATTTTCAATTTTAAAAAGTATTCCCATTCAACAATCACGAGGAAGGACTTCCAGCTAGTCAATAACTCACTCACATTAATGTACTTCATAACATGGACCATCATTAAATAAAACATGGAAAACAGTATTAAAAGGAATGTGCTCAAGTATGAATATATAATTCAAATATTTATGTATTTTATTGGGGGGTTTTTCTCCAAAGTGGCAGGACTGCGGCCGTTATTTTTGTGTGTGGATTTGTCCTACTTTAGCAACAACACTTCACCAGTGGCAACACACACGCACTAATAGGTTTATACTACGTAGGCCTTTTTGTGTGTCTATACGAGCTATGTAATAAGAAATGTTTCCATTGTGAAATTAATAATTGTAATAAAACAAACCTTATTGGACTTTCTCTTTTTTGCTTATTCCATCTTTAACTTTTTGGAATTATCAAATCAACGATAATCGTTGACGTCACCGAACGCTTTGAGGCAGAACAGTCTATGGGCAGAATCAGCGAATGTATCAGTACACACGGGCAGATGTACATAATAACGTATAATGAAGGGCTGTAGATTTCTGATTGCAATATTTCCTTTGACCAGCAGAGGGGGTGCACCGTTCCTGGAGGTACTGCAATACCAGGTCGATGCGTGGAGTGGACGGAGCAAGCCCCTATTCCATCTCCCAGTTCCAAAAATCAATTTAATATATGGTCCCCGGGTAGGGGACGTATCAGATATTAAACTGATAAGAACAGATACTACACTTGATCTTAGCCAAAAGGCCGAGAAGCGATAACTACAAACTGTCCGCGGGAGGGAACCCTTTCTCCGCCAGGACGAGCTCAGTCACGGTGCGGAACTATGTCTTGAGATTGATCATATATATATAGGATTCAAAGTCAGTTCAATGAAGAAAGACTCACAGCAACACAGCTGCCAGCGAAAATCTCAATATAAATAAGCTTTTTCAAGAGGTACATATTTCCAGTTAAAGAGGGCGGAGCCTAAGAAGCACGGAGTCGCCCATTTCCTTTTTGCTTAATACAAAGTAATTAATATGTACATGTCTATTTCACGGATGTTCGATCCCGATATATAGCGTGGTTATGTGCAGTATTACTTGTATCATGGTGTCAACCTTAACCTGAACGGTAAATATGTTACTTCCGGTATGTTACGGTGATCCATCACAGGGGGCGCCGTAGTGCAGAACATTCAGCCTCGTTCTTGGTGTTCTGAAAGTGCGGTGATGTTCCATGAAGAGGATTTTTTTTTTTTTTTCATAATCTTCACTTTATTAATACAAACACATGCATGAAAACATTAGCCTACTGTTAAAAGAAAAACATATGACTAATCTGTGGCATAACGACAGTGGAGCTTTGAACTACATTTCCTCATTCATCTTTCCAAAAACTTTTTTTTTAAATAAAACTTTATTGAACATTTACAAACATTGAGACACAACACAGTTCTTATCCTGTCAAGGCATATTCGGTCGAGTAGAAAAATAATCCATAAAGCAGTGCAAAATGAAGGCAAGTTGAAAAAAAAAAAAAAACATAAATAGAATTATCAACCAAAAATAGAAAAATAAAAAAATGCTTTATGATTGTACCATATACTGTATATATTAATTGTACATCAAATTGAATAGAATAATAAGATAAATAAAAATGAAAAATATATATACCTTTTACCTCAGATTTAAGGGTCAGTTAATTTGTAATGTTTTATTTGATCTAGAAGCTCCATCGCTTTATTTAATTTCATAACCTTTAAAGGACAACTCACCCTCAAATCCACTTTTTTTGCTGATAAACTGTATAAATGAGTGTCCTATAGTGTTGTGTACATATCCTGGTCATAATATTGTCACTTTGGTGCAAATTAGTAGAAAGATCCACTTTCTGCCTAAAACCGTCTGTGAGGCGCCATCTCATGGCGACCTGTGTTACTACATTTGAATTTTGAATCTGGCGCCAATATTGGCGCACAAGTTGGACCTGACGTCAGCAACTTGAGCATTGAAGACGAAACCTACCTCATGTATGTCACATTTACACAATGAGTTCAACGCGTATAAGTCAGTGAAGACAAATGTTTTTTTCTTTTTTTACAGGCTATATTGACAAGCTGATGGCTCTTCTATTTGACAATGTGGTGGGGGATCCTCTCATGTATCAGGAGCACTCTGAAAAGGTCCCTGTGCCTGAACCACTCTGTGCACAATATGAGAAGCCAGACAAACAGGAAGCTGTGAGCAGGCACAGGTCCAGATTCTTCAATAAGCCATAAGGTGACCAACGCACCTGTACTGGATACAGATTTTAAGAAAGTTGTGACTTGGATCATGTTGTATGGCAAAGAGATGATGTAATTGTATGTCATGTTAAAAAATAATAACATATATATGTAAGGGATAATGTATAGCATACAGGTCATTATCGGAAAATAAGTACCGACAGGGCGAAGCGGACCCCGACGCGCAGCGGAGGGGTCTGCTTCCGCCCTGAAGGTACTTATTTTACGATAATGACCTGTATGCTATACATTATCCCGCTTATTATACTGCTTTGTACCAACTTAACACACAAAATAAACTTCAGATCACTTTTATGAATGCCAAAAGTTTATTTAATGACAACAAATAAAGTAGTCCCAAAAAGTTTTCCCGTTGCTCGGCAACCGCGGGCAGGCAGTGTGGCTATGCTAGCAACAGTTAGGCTGGCAACTTCCAAACTAGAACTCTCTGGAACTGCATGAAAACTGAACAAAGAATTCCGAACATCAGCGGTGAGTGACCCATACATAAACTTAACCTAAATCGATCCTCTGCAAATGTGTCCGAAAATGTGCCGGTATCTTAAAATGTGCCGGTATCTACTTCCGGGTTTTTCGGGATCGCCTTTTCTCGCATTACATCAGTGTTTTTGTCATGAAAACGTAAACGTAAACGTAAAATCGCTTTTTGACGCAGAGAAATAGTATTTTTGTCATAAAGACAAGACCAGAAAATTCTGAAAATTTCTGTGCACGTGTGTGAAGAATGTATATGTATAAGTATTCTCCGATTAACATTTAAGTGTGTTGATTGAGCGTGGCTAGCTCAGGAGTGCCGGAACTACTTGCGGAGTTATCCACGCATTTGAAATACAAGCAGAGAGTGCGTTGCCATGGGCAGCGGTCATTATTGTTTTGAGAGGTCCGTTATAGAAAATAATGACCGGTAGAACGTTTTGAAATTACATTCAAATCAATGGAGCGTTCTACTGCTGCTCTGAGGAGCCGTATAATAAATATATATATTCTTTGTTCGTTGTCCCAGTGATCGGAAAGAAATGCAGAACTGGGCAAGAGAAGGTGAACTGAGAAAATGACGAGGTGATGAGGTGTTGTAAACCATTTACATGATCCATCTCTACTGATCGCCATCAAAGTCCTCAGGTGATGACAAGGCTGTGGACATCTGTGGGAAATTACATTCAGAATGTCCACACTAAAGGAAAGAGACTTGTACACTCAATGTCTTCACAGGCCTTTGGTTGGGGATGCGAGAGTGTGGCCAAAATCAAGTGTGTAAGTACAAGTTCTTATCCCTATATCTAATTTATATTGATATATTTACACTTGCCATATCAATGTATTATTCTTTGTAATTCTGTATAATTCCATGTAGGCACAGCAGCATGTGAGAGACTCTTTAGATTTTTTTTAACACCAGTTTTTGAAAGCTGTAACTAAAATAAGACCACGATACCATACTTTGCATATTGAGGCATTCTGCAGCCTTATTCCAAGTAATGCTGGCCAGGTATAATATTGACTTGAGTTATTTCATAGCTTTGAAATGTTCAGAGTAGAATACATACTGTATATTAATGATTTTGTTGTTCAATTACAGGGTGCAGGTTGGTGTCTTGAATTATGATTAAAAAAGGCTAATCTAAAACTCAAGCGTGGTAGCTGCACTGTGAGAGCCAAGACCAACCCTACTTCATATATTCAAATTAGCATGACGCTTATAAGTATTATGAGGAGAATTTTTTTCCTTTTATTTTGACTACATTGACAAGCTGAACTACTTTGTCTATTTTGAAGGACCAGACAAATAGGTGGCATGGACAATGGACAGTCCATGTTTTTTTTGTATGTAATCAAGCTCTACTTTATGCTTCCTTTGCAAATGATTTATCCATTTTACATAAAGGACTTTTATTCTGTTATAGGTATTTGTTAATAAAATACTTTGTTTGTTTATGATAACTTGCACCTCAAAGTTGTCACTGTAATAACTAAATTCCCTTACTGCTAATACTGCAACTACAAAAACACTTATTGTTAGGGGTGCAGCACATCTTCCAAAAGCTGCCTGCTTAGATATTGAGTGGAGCATGCAATCATGATTTCAAATTGATACCAAGAAAGGTGTAATAATGGACCAATAACTAACTACTGCAATTCTTTTTTGATATTTGTATTTGGAGGATATTTATTATAATAACATGTAAAACTATAATAAAACAATACATTATGCAACTACACAAATTGCAGTGGTGGGAGGAATCCAGTGTATTCTCCATGTTCTGGGAATTCACATCTTATCCTGCTCACAGCACAGGAGGGGATGACCACACGGATATGCTGCCCTAAGTAACCCCAGCACCACCGGACAAAATTCCTGTATGCCAGAAATCTGTAACAGCTGAAAGAAAGATAAAACGTGGATTTTGTTTTTTAGTAAGGAGCTAACACATAATCATACTAAACTAACCTGTTGAGCATGGTCTCAGGCATGTCTCCAAACAGCTGCATGTAAGTAGCATGTACTGCTTGGAGCACGTACGGATTTAGAGCCA